TATATATATAAATATATAGTTAAATATATATAATTGTGTGTAAAAGGTCATATATATTATAAACCGGGCAGAACGTTATACTTTTAAAGCAAATTAACAATTCCAGTTCTAATAAATCCTGACCACCACTTGTATCCCTATCCGACCTCACTCCATCCATCACATTTCACATTTTCCAAGTCACACAACTTACCAAAGAAATCATTTTACGATGTGTATGTGTGTCATTTTTAGACGTGAGACTATCACAGTGTTTCTCTCTGTCCTCACTCGGTATATGTTGTTCCACGCCCCTGTCATTCCTGTCATGTCCGCTGCTATGTGTTGCTTCCGCTGACAATTGTATCCTCGATTGTTGCGAATCGGACATAGTGGCGGTGAATGTACTTATCTAAAGTTCTACCACGTGTTGGGCCAAATACACTGCTACAGATCAAGTACAGCACACGAGTATCTCGTTAGCCACAGATTTATCCAACAGATATGCGTTCTATATTGGGCTGGTTAATGTAGTGCTCAACTTAGACTCATAGCTATGGAGACACGAGCATACTGCGTCCGATCAACACCCACTGGTAACTGATGCGTACACTTCCGTGGTTTAGAACTACCGCATATGCTTTCAGCAACCCAATCTTAATACGTTGTAGTGTGATAATGTGAGTGAGTGAGTTCAGCGGATGGGCGATTCTCCTGTGTAGCTCTGTCTATAATGCAGACTGCATGTATGTATAATGTAGCTCTGTCTATAATGCAGACTGCATGTATGTATAATGCACACTACATGTATGTTTTATGTACATACATAGCCAATATTTATTCACATTTATTTTCCCGATCGCCATAGACATCACCCGGTATAGAGAAATGCCACAGATATGACACATCACCAGGGCTTGACAAGTTGACAGTTGGCGTATCCAAAAAGACTTTTTTTTTCGTAGCCCTCCATAGCCTTTGTCTTAAAAACCAGACATCTACGAGGGTTGGAACTTTGGAGTAGGATTGTTATTTACGTACAGGGCACACCGGTGATATATACAGAACAGGTGAATACATCTTTAAGACTTTAATACTTCGACGATATGTCTGATCTCAGAGTGTGCCGTTTGGCATATGAAGGCGATGTGGAGGCCGTGAAAGAATTAATCTCTGAGGATTCCAAACTTGCTACTAAACGAGATGAGGTACGTCTGTGGTCCAGTTCGGAATAGATTGTATTGATGAACAGAACGTGGTGATGGAATATAGATATATGAACCATATGTATGTCTAAAACGAAGACTCGACATCATGTTTTTTGTGCTACACCCTGTCTGTGATTTTGTAAAGCTACAACCCCACACACATACACACATATCC